CATTGGACATTTTTAGTGATTTTTAGTGGTCCTATTTTCCATTTCGTTCAATTATAGTTTATTTGTTTGGCTTTATGGTGTTATGACTGTATGGTATTATGATTTCAATAAAGTTCGTGTTATCAGAGAGCAGGAGAACAGAAGTAGACAGTTTTGTTGAAGACAGATGAACAGATGATCAAAAGTGAAGGGAAATTTGCTATAAGCAGTAGCTTTGTCCGATGCCGTCTAATGTTTTAGGTTGTTAGGTCGTTTTCTTGTGGATATTCTTTTTCGGTGCTCCGACTGATGTTATGTATAACCACCACCAATCACGCCTGCAATTGCGTACTCTCTGCTGCTGTTGTAATCCACGACGACGAAGGGGTCGCATGTTGCAAGCAGGTAGTGGGTTCGTGAGTGCAGGTGTCACTACTGATTGTGAGCAAAGCTGTGGCAAAACTAGCGAAGCACTGCCTCGTTTTTGAGTCTCGACGTGGAGTGCCGTAACTCCGCCAGGATGTAAATTCATCGTAGATTGATGTAAGTGAAACTACAACATAGCAAGAAAAAGAAGTTTGTCTGGACAAAGGGACCACTAGCTGTGTGGTAGGATTGTTCTTTCTAATGCTTGTATCCCTTAAGTTATTTCTATGTCACTGCGATTTAAATGGAAGACGAATATAAGTGGCACGTTACATAGAAATGTTAATCACTGCTGCTGGGTTTCAAGTTTTATCCATGTCAAGCGAAAGAGATGCACTGAAAGTCTTCTCAGCATTCTGGGCGGAAGTGTGGCTTTTGTAATCAAGAGATCTTTTTGTTGCCGCTATAACAAACCGTCGGATTAAAATCCACGCTGAGTGATTTTTTATATAGCAGGCACGAGATATATACTGTACTCATTAGAAATAGGAAAATTTCTATTGTTGAAGTTTGCAATTGCACGGCGCGATTGGTGGTATTTATACATAACATCGGTCGGAGCACCGAAAAAGAAGAAGAAAAACGATCTAACAAAGAAAAACATCGAAGAAAACATTCAACCACATTAACGAACAAAGCTCTGCCAGTAGCGAATTTCACTTCACTATTGATTGTCTGTTGGCATTATGCCGCCAGTCTAATGCCACAGGCGCCTCGAAAATCTCGTCCGGGCCACGCCTTCCTTGCGCCCGGAGCACGTACAACCGCGGTTCAGTGTGGGGTTCTATATGGGGCACCCTCACGATTTCTTTTTGATTTCTCTTCACTAATGGGGTCCTTGTTGACTCACTAACACTATTTCACCCACATAACCCATAAAATTTGAATGCGGGCTCTGCCTTTAAGAGCAACAAAGGTGATGTTTCAACGCCGTCATACATTCGCCGACCATTACCGTAATTAATTCACTATGTAAGAAGTGCAGTCTCTCGAGTCAACTAGCCAGGAAGTACTAGTTTACTTTGTACTAACACAACGTTCACACCATGTCGCTAACTGTACTGATTACAGACTGCGCATCCATGTCCACAGATGTGTAACATTGTTCGGGAAGACACGTTGCTTCAGGGCGGCGATGTCGGCTCTCAGAACTATACGGAGAATACTATAGTCACAGAATACGGAAACGGTGACCTATCTATTGCTCAAGTATTCTAATATATTAAGTAACTCTGGTAAGCTGCACTTTGTTTCCTAGACGATTTTTGGGCAGTTCGCAACGGGGGGCGGGCATTTTGCAGCTTTTTCCTTACTTCCCATTCCCACTTTCGACTCATCTGCGAGAGGCCAATATCGTGAGTTAGACCGAGACATTGACATGTCCCTACCAGGGTCGGCTGACGAAGCTTGCGTAGAATCACAAGGCTACACAGGTTTAACTGGAGTGAGACTTGTAAACCGGAACTAGTGAGGCAGCAAACGTGCAAAATGCCCCCCACCCCGTCCGAACTGGGCCCAATTTTCAACAAGATTCTGCTAACGGAAGTACTTTACCCTGTATGAAGGGTGTCATCGTGAAATGCTCCCTAGCACCGCCTTCTGCATTGCCCGACCCTTTCTGCAAAAACGGCCGGGTACATTTTAATGGGATTCTTTTCCTTTCCTCCGCAAGGTAACCAGATATGTGACGCATTCATGTGTAGTAACGGCAATCGGCACTGCGATTTCCAAAAATTATTCGCCTCGGTAACCACATAACGACCACATAAGGTCCGCATTTCGAGGGTATCCGACGTGAAGAACATGATGGCTGACAATCCACGAAGCGTGACCAATTTGCATGTGTCTCCGTCACCTGTACGGGCCAGAATTTGGAATTTACCAGTAGCAAAGGAGGTGTATATGCACAGAAGACACAAGAGCGAGACGAAGTAAGGGAAATCTTGAGCTTTGACAACATAATTTAAACTCACCGTGAGAAGATTTGCTCTGCTGAAGCTCAGAGCATTGAGAAGCGTTTCTTAGTGAGGGCTACGATTTCTGCAATCCAAACAAATAAACCATAATTGAACCAAATGGAAAATAGAACCACTAAAAATCACTAAAAATGTCCAATGTAATGTGGGAACCCGCTGAACATGTTATTGTTGCCTCCTGATGGTCGTCCAGAACTCTAAAAAGACCTAATAAGCCCCAACAAGATTCCAAGTTCATCGAAAATAAGCAAAACTATTGAAAGTTGTGAAAACTGTGAATGTGGAAGCACTCACGTATTGCTGAAACATATTTCTGGATGGTGGTGCTTGTCCGTTTTGTGCCATACTGTTATTATAACTATTACTTCCGTGCTGTTGTTGCTGATTTTGTCCAGGGGACATGTCTCGCACCACCACGCCGTCACACCTCCGACTAAACATGCTGGAATTTTGCAAAGAAAATCAACAAATTCTTGGTGAATTCCTACCCGAGAAGGAAAATGGATGGAGGCTCTTATGGAATTCATGAGAAAAACGGCGCGCTGTTCGGCGAACGGGGGGGGGGAGGGTGAGGGTGGGCATTTTGTACCGACTTTCGCAATGGTAAAACCTATGGTAAAACTATGGCAAAGCTATGGTAAAACCACGCTATGGTAATTAGATTTCGGACAGGAAATTACGCGCAGTACACTTTTAACATATTCATAGCTGTAATGAAAACGCTTACTGCTACATTATGAACCCATATCTGCGCAGAGAAACGATACAAATCAACAAAGCACAAGTCACAACGAGGGGGGTCAGTAGGTTGTCCCGGTGTTGAGGGCGCGTGATCCACGAGGAGCGCAGAGAACGAGAGTAATCGGTGGTGGCGGAAGAGAGGAGAGGCACACCACCGGCGGAACAGACAGCGAATTAGGAAATAAACATCTCTACAGACACGAGGAAATCCACACACCTGAAAGGAGAATGCAGTGGAACCGAGGAGACTCGTTGCGATGGCAACAACCTTTCTGATTAGATCCGGTCGTTAGAATCTGAAATTGGAATGGAATCTTCAGGAAATCTTCATCAAACCAGCCAAAAACAGCAAATCAAACAAATCAACTAACTTGCTGAGCAAGTTTGTAGAGCTGTCGTGCTGAAACTGCGGTCGTATGTGTTCGCAACACATTTTTCTGCGCTTTCCTCAATCTTCCAGTCGTAGTTATATCTGCAGAATAAATAAACTGTAGAGGTGGTCGACATGATTACGATGAATAACGCCTCAGGATTGAGGCTATATACCAAGAAGCAGAAGAATAACATACCCGGCGGATCCATATCCTCCTTTGCAGTGAACAGTTGTTACACGTTCCATGTAATCCAAGGGAAACACGGTACTCAAAGCAGGATCTGTAAATGAATAGATCGTAGTAGATTTAGTAGTAGTAAATAATACTAATATAGTAATATAATATACTGAACATAAACGCACAACTCATCGTTTCTGAACGCGTGCCTCTGAGGACTGCATGCTAACCAAACCAGAAGCACGATTATGGGTTTCAGTCAGAAGGTGCAGGTTGTGGAGGGGTTACAAATCCAGATCACCGTTTGATGGATTATCGCCGCTGCACACTGGTACTGTCTGTTCCTGCGTGGGACACTTCGTCGCGCCCCCAGCAATGCGGACATCCTGGCCGTCACCTCTGCCGTATTATGGGCCAAGGACAGAGGGTACATAGACGCGTATAAAAGACGCTGTCGAACGAAACAACCTTGAACCAGCGTCCGTCCGAGTCCAGAGGCAAACATTACGTGTCTAATGTGCCAAAAAACCAACTAGTACTCAATTATATCTGACACAGTTATTGAAAACTGAAACCAACTAGGCCGAGATTCTCCCGTGGATCGAACCTAGTAGCGAACGGGCCCAATTCATCCTGGACTTCCTTCAATGACGAGTAAGTTTGAGATCGCGACAACGTCACAACTGCCAGGCGATCCTTAACAAGACAAATGGAGTTTTCATTCGTCATCATTTCACACTATATAGTTCCTTAGCTCAAAGCTAACGACCCTGAAAAGCCCTGACCTTATCAGCTTGTTGGCGCAATGTTCTGCGACCCTGTTCTGTCGAGAATATCCACTCGCCTTCTCTGAAACATAACAGCTGAACTCAACATCATGAAAGTGCCTAAAAAGCAGGTATCTACAGTTTATATGCATCTCCCCCAATGATTCTCCAGTTTTTTATGCACTTCGTAGAGGTGTCGATTGAGACCCAAATCTTATCACGCAAAAACTAGTTGGTTCGTGACCGTCTCCACAAAATGGGATTCCCCACCAGTACCAGATCCACAGAAACGGTAGAGACGTTGAGCATATATTCTCCAGACTTTTAATGCTTCGAAACTCTAATTTCAAGTAATGAAGCAATAACGAACCGTCCTAGAGGCACAACAAAAACGGCGTAGGTGCGGAAGGTTTTCACGTTGACATTATCAACAATATAGAAACAACAGCGGGGCCCACTCTCTAACTGGCTCTCAATGGTAATGGAAACCTCGTGATCCAGTTTCCTAAAGCAAAATGATACACAAGCTTAAGCCGTCTTGACATTGAGGCAATCTAGAAACGGCAAACGAAAGTATCACGGTCTAGAGAGGTAGAGGGGAGAATGCTTAACTTTTCGGATTCAGTAAAGCAATTACCTTGAGCACATGTGAACAAACTGCTTCAATTCTTGTTCTGCAGCTACAACTGAGAGCACATCATGCAGGTTAGTCAACTTTTCAAAACGGCTGCTGCCAGCACGGCATAATTCAATCTGCTGAAAATACAGGAACAATCTAAAACGTGTAGTGTTCAC